CTTATCAAAGGAGAAAACTCGATTTCTAGCGTGCTTGACTGTTACCTTCCTTTCTTATTCACTAGCTAGTCAATTGGCAGATACATTTCTATTCTGATCCTGACACCAACGAACTTCTCGCCTGCTCATCGCGATTTCTGCCTCTAAGCCTTCCCACATGTCATTTGGTGGACGGAAGCTCAGTGAAGGGCAAGAATGAAAACGGGTAGCGACTAAGTTTCACAATTCCTCACCTGATTGCTTCCATCCCATTCTCCTTCAGTCGACAAGCTTTCATGATCGGGGTAAGTCCTTTGCGGTCGAAAACGTTCGGATCAGCGCCGTATTCGAGCTAAACAGGAGGGAATTTAGATGTGAAACTGAATGATGGAAGGAGAAATCGCAAAGATTTTCGGGGAGGGAATAAGTTTGGAACGAACCAGAAGCGCGATAAAATGCGTGTCAAGAGGGCTGACGTGGGTGATCTCTGGTCCATCGAAGTAGATGGCGTTCGGACTGGCGCCGTTTTCCAACAGAAGACGAGCGCATTCGTAATGACCGTTCTAAAAGGGGTAGATAGGGATTAAATGCAGAAATCTGTCATATTACATATGAACATGAAATTTTGTCAACGTTCAAAAAGCAAAGAAAGTTTGAGAGAGAAATACAAAAATTATTGGTTTGGAATGAATTTGTAGATCTTAGTTCATGGGCTGCATCAAACGAGAGGCGTAAGCAGCGTTCTTCAAGGAATGCCCCTTCTTTCACAGAATACTCAAGGCTTTTCAATCAATCATTTTTTTTCCGGGATAGAGGACTAATCTAGCGGTCTTTTCATACTGTAGAGAACATTTGTAAGCCTATCCAAAGCAGGAACAAGTCAAGAACGGAAGCATGTGCCCGTATCTTTTGCACAAATGATATCATTGAACAAAAACATCCTAATGATATCATTTGCAAAAAAAAACTATTTCCTGACTATGGGTTTGACCATTCCCAACATCATTTTTTTTTCGTTTCCGTCATTCAGAAGCATAATGGCACGGATTCATTCTGTGTCTGGTCTAAAATGTTGAGCAACGTGCGTTATAGCTGAGCGAAAAGCGAAAAAAAAACGAAGCAGAACCCCGGTCGAAGACCTGCGGAAAAAGAGGGCCATGTCGTTAAAGCAATTTCGGGTACGATTTTTCCTATGAGCATCTTGACAACTGCTACGCGTGTAAATACGGCTGCATGGTATTACTCATTCTTATCTATGCAGCACATGGCAGCTTAAATCAGTCGCGTTCGCATGCCATCACTGTACGCTTATAACTAGTTCAGACAAAGTGAAGCAGCAAGATATAGCATTAGGGTATGGTCGTCCCATTTGCTGGACGAGCGGCCGGGCGCGAGACAGCGTCCGGGCCTGGTCTTTGCAGTTGATAGAGTCATTACGAAGAGTACGTATCACTGGAGAAGGCGTACGCGCAGCTCCTGCTTAGGAGCGCGGCGATCTGCCGTCCTTGGGAAGCCCGTCATTAATTCTACTCCTTTCAAGGAATTTATCCGTTGCGCACTGCTTTAAAGGCACAGTCGCGCGATAAAGGTATGAAGTTGAAATATGGCGTCAGGAGGTTAGGGTGAGCCCGCGACGAACAACCTTGTACCGGTTTCGCGGCAAAAAATTCTATGGGAGGGGCGCTGTAGCGCAATATAGGTTCAGTGGCTCCTCCTTTTTCCAGTGACTCCGCCTCCAGACTCCGCCCCTAATGACCGGCTTCCAGTGAAAAATGAGTGCCCCCGAGATTGGGCGCGACCGAAAAAGTATGATAAATGTCCCTTGTAACGATAGTAGACAATCTTATGGGTGAATCAGCCGTCGGCATATGAGCGGCGATAGTTTGGAGATAGAGTTGACTGGCCACGATCGGCAGGCTACAAATTGGGATCGAAAATATGGGTTCTATCTAGGGCAGGTGGCAACATGTTTCTTGGTGCTTTTTTTTGTATCTGAACCCCTAATTACACACATCTGAGATGGCGAGTAATCGCGGGTTCTTCCTTGCCCTTAAGGGTTGCCTTAGAAGAAGCTTCTTCGGCCTCCATCTTCACCGGCGAGATAGTTCGCATCTCAAAACTCCTACTTCAAACCCCTACCAATGACTGCGAAATAGGCCTTCAAGGAGATTTTATCAGAACAGCAGTAAGCAAAACCGCTTCCTGATGGTCAAACCACAGGCTAACGATATAAAATATGAAGCACATGGAAGTCGTTTCCACCCGTAACGACCACTCCTTGAGACCCTTTTTTGAACGACCCCTTGCAAATAATGTTTTCAAATAGCGCTCACCTTCATGGCAAGTCGTAGGGGTTCGTCAATATGTTCACGACTCGGATATTTGCCATCAGGTTCCATCACAGGTGTTTCATACTGCTGCACAGCTTCAGTGTACTGAAAAATTTGTAACATAATTTGAAGAAACGGAAATTTCAGAAAAGGATCTTTTCTAGCGGACCTGAAGCAGTAGTTTAATCATTCTGTAGTAGCCGTGCTCAGCGCAAAGGTGTAGAGCCGAGCAACCAACTTCGTCAACAGCGTCGACCTGTAGAAAAATACGAGAAATAAGAAAATAAAAGGGAAAATGTAGAGTTGGGGGAAGTTCTGCGACGGGGGGGGGCATTTTGCACTTTGCTACTTCCCATCGACGTGTCGACCCATCTAGAGAGCCTTTCTTGAGTTGACAGGTTTTACCATGGTGGCTCCGCGAGCTTGTTCCAGCTCCACAAAAGTTTACAGGTTTCACCTTTGATTCGGAACTACTGAGGAAAGTGCAAAATGCCCCATCCCCCGTCGCCGAACTGCGCCTACAATTAATGATGAAAGCGGAAAATATCGATAAATAATAAATACAAGGAGTACAGCTATGTAAAATGCTTTTTGGAAATTATATAGCCAATTTGCGACATTTCGCATTATTTATAGGCTTTAAATATGCCATGTCATACTAGAAACTACATAATCACGTCAATCTATAGGAACTCAGTTCTACCTGCAATGAAAAAGGCCCACCCAAAGATTTATGATTCATTATCAGTTGCAGTTTTAAATAGGCCATTCACTGATACAACGCCCACCCGTAAACATCCAAAGAGGCAGCACCTGGACATAAACTACACCCGGTTATCAATGTTTGTATACAGTTAGCAAAAACATTTCACCGGCGTTTCAGTTAGCTTTTAACGGTCATACTTCCGCCATCCGTTGTACTGATGCATAACAAGGACAAAAACATGAGCGAAGTTAGCACTATGAAGGTAAAATAGCCAAGATGTGGAGGTGGAGCGAGGTTAGCACTATGAAGGTAAAATAGCCAAGATGTGGAGGTGATGTAGTGGCAAGTGGCACGTTTACCAGCGCAAGGTCCGGGGATCCAATTCTGGATTGGCTCCTGCCAGCCAATCAAGCACTTTCATCTACTCGGGGACGGTGAATTGCTACCAGATCCTTCTGGAAGGACAAGCTGATTTGTACAGCGGCTGGCCCCCGCAAGTCATTGATAGGCCACATCGCATTCAATAAGCCACTACGATTCTGAATGGAAGTAGAATGCGTGCCGCATCCCACAAAGGATTGATTAACGGCGAAAACTTCACCCTAACTATCCTTTGAAGTCGACAAGGATGTGGGAGAGATCAGCGTGAACTTCATTCCGCTCTTCCGGTGCATATATAGACCGCTACTGAGCTAAGCTTGCGAAAAAAGTGCTAACTAACTACTACTACTAACTTACTACTACTACTACTCGTGTTTTTCAGTCCTTTCTGTTCTCGCCTATCGCATTCCAAAATTTCTTTGGTGCTTTTTGTCTGCACTATCAAGTAGTTACTCCACGTCTCACAAGGGTTGACGGATAAAGTCTTCGCCACTGGGTACTCACTTTTCTTCAGCATTTTTTCGATTCCGATGTCGGTATTCTTATCTCCCAGGGAATGTGGGTCCATTTTACCGCCGCGGGCGGTAAGTGTGGAGGTGGAAGAACCTGGTTGCTGGGTGGGAGCCGATCCGGGATTTGATCTCCGAACTGTGAGTGTGGTAATAATGCCACTTGCCATTACACCACCCTGCCATCACCAACCATCCCTATTAGTAAGCGAAGACATGTCATTATAACACTACATATGGCCCCCCAAGTTTGGTGGACTATGCCCACTGCTTAGAGTCACTAAGCCTAAAAGCTGGTCAATTAAAAAAAACAAAACGCTGAAGTTCCGGCAGTTCATCCTTTACAGGATGAGGCTTCGCATAACCCCCCCCCTTTGGAATTTATCAAGCCAATTCCATAGTGGACATGCTCGATCCTCGAACTGGAGGAATCGGTTGAATGTGCACAGTGAGCTGTTTCTGTACTCCGAGCAAGTTCAGCGATGCGGGTCGGTGCCTAACTCAGTGAACGGCGCACATTGCTGAAGCACGTCTTCACCTATCAAATGGACAGTAGTTAAGTCATGACACACTGCCGGTTTTCGGGTAGGTCTGTCCACATGCAAAACCATGAACACATACGCCATGGACACCATCCGCCTGTTTCCCCCCCCCCCCCCAGGTTCTAGACCTATTGTTGGAAGAGTTTGAGAAGGGTGATGTTCAGTAGCGCTTTGTTAGGTAGTTAATGTAGTCAATTGCAGATAATGGCCAGACGATCGAGTAAGAATTTCAGGACTGTTATGAGCTGTTCCACCTGGCAGTCCCTTCGGCACAAAAAACATAACCCACAACAATGGCGAGGTTTCACATAGATGGAAGCTATACCACACCAATCGGTTCTCCTTACTGTCTGTGAGACTTCCAAAAAAGAGAAGGTTCCAAGTATTTCACTGAAATTCTTGTCCACGACGCAGTTCAAGGAGACCCTGGACCTTTGAAAGCAGCAGTCCTTTGCTTCTGACGTTCCAATGAATCTTAGCGTTTGCCATAAAAAATTTACAATGCGCCCGAAAGCAAAGGGAGGTCTCATTACTTACCGTTAGAATAATTTTTTCTTTGGGGAACCTGTCAAATGATCAAAAGATTCACAAACAGGTTCCATTCCCAAAACTCGGCCACAGCGTGTTTTTAGTGCAGGGGCACCAGCTGATTAGGCTGCTGATATTTGCTTACCCCGAAAGAAACACCTGCACCAATGACTAGAGCTCAAAAATTAAAATAAAAATAGATGATGAAGAATGTAAAGTTGGCCTTTCTGGAAAAGCAATCAAGTGGAGCAGGTGAATACTTACCTTTGCACCTTTTGTGAGCAGGAGTTTCGCTGCGCCAACGTAGTTTATGAAACATGCATAGTGCAACGGGGTCAGTCCACGGGTGACTTCACCGTCTGGCTGAAAATAAGAAATGGCTTGAGGGGTGAGTGACTAATCATGACTAGACAATAACCTAAGCGCATGACCACTTGATTCTGCAATGTTCGTATGTTAGCGATGGTTGAAGTAGTGGATAGTCTAATGGTAAGCTCAAACAATTGCTTCTATCACATGGAATAGCCTAGCACTAACAAGCCAGAGCATTAAAGTCACATTCCGCGATTAATGGACAGTCGGAACCTCCTTATGCAAGTTGTCCCGTCCCCATCGTCACTCACTTTGGCTCTCTCGTCACTCCTTCAGAGGTTATCCCACTTTTGTATCTGGATAGTGAGTGATGAGGGGGCTATGGTAGCCAAGGATGGAAGGATAAAGTCTTCACCACTGGTCAAGCCCTTTGTGGGACGTGGAACGCATTCCACTGGCGCAGTTTGTCGACGGGGGGCATTTTGCTTTCCATAGATGTGTCGACCCATCTAGGTAGCCGTTTCTCGAGTTGACACGTTTTAGGATAGTGGCTAGACGATCTTACT